CCCCAGCCAGCATGCTGGCTGGGGAATTCTGGGAGTTGAAGTCCACATGTTTTATAGGTGCCAAGGTTGAGAAACACTGTTTCGGGCCATGAAAAGTTTTGAAATTTTTTTCAATTGCCTAAATTTCCTTGAACAGTTTCCAAGGCTAGAGGCATCTCATTTTAAAAGCAAAACGAAAATGGGAAAAAAAATATATTTTCTTCTTTTGTTAAGCAAACGATTCGACTCTGGAGCACGGGCGATGAAGTTGTAAGGGTTCTAGCTTTCCTGGTGCTGAACAAAATCTGCCGGCACAAGCAAGAAGCCTACTTAGCCTCTGTTCTCAAGGTAAGATGGTAACAGAAACCACACGAACTGTAAAATTGCTGGAGTTGAGAACCATCGCTCCATATCAAAGGGGTCTTGGATTGGGCTGTAGCTGCTGAGAAACACCCACGATCCTGAGAAAAGTCTGTCACCTGCCCCTATTTTCATCCCGATAGCCCAAATGATTTTTGGGGGACCCCTCCCCCAATGCAGACACCCTTGATTCAACCTGTATTAGGGCAAGCACCCTGATTTCTGTGTTTGTTGTGCCTGATTGCTCCAATATTGGGGGACAAAGGTTGATAAAAATCTCTTTTTTTTAAAAAAAAAAAAGCTCATTGCAGATTTAGTCTAGTTTGATCAGTCCCTAGTTGGATGAAACAAAGATCGCCATAATCATCTGGTCGTGTTTTTCTTCTTCCTCCCCCTTCAGCAAATGTACATTTCCTATGTCAAGAACTCAAGGTTCACCTCTCCCAACGTCCTCCCTCTGATCAACTTCATGCAGCGGACTCTGATCGAGATGTACGCTCTGGACCACGGTGTTTCCTACCAGCAGGCCTTCATTTACATCCGGCAGCTGGCCATCCACTTGCGTGGTGCCATGACCATGAAGAAGAAGGTGGGTTTATGTGAATGAGTGAGTAGTGGAGCCTCCATGGTTAGAGGAAGTACTAGTAACAGCAGCTAGAGAACCAGAGATGGGGAAGCTCGGTTTTCTTGTGGGGCTTGTAGGCTTCAAGGAGACGTTTAGAAGGTTGTGTTTGGACAAGATGGGGAGGAGATGGAGATGTTCCCCACCGCTTTGATTATTTGCCACCCACCCTGCTTGTTCTCTGCTGTTATAAATCCTAACTGATTTATATTTCAGAACATTTCTCATTTTGAAGTCCAAATCAGGAATGTGGTAGGAGGCACCTGAAAATTTGGATGTTAGACTCAGTGAATGATAGACTCAGTGTCCTTTAGTCTCCCTGCTTTCCTTTTGATGTGAAAAGCAAATTGAGAATTTTCAGAGAGGGTTGGCCTAGGAACGCTGTAAAAACAAATATAATAAATGAATAGAAACGAGGCTGCCTTGAATGTAGTAAACCTGGAATATAAGCTTATAATACTGATAATAACAACAGTAACAAGAACAGACCAACAGAAATGGGACAGAAATTTGTAATTTATTTTGCATCTAAAGTGTGTTGGGAAATAGCATTTTTTGGACCAAAACAACCCACATCAGTGCAGCTGAATTCCAGACCATATTTCTTGCTAACTTTTTGTGTTAAAGCCACACTGGAAGAAAGAAATATGTCCCCATTGCAGATCCTTTTCAGTGTCCAAATTGAGGCTGATTTTGATATCAGAAGCTGGGTGGAAGGTGAAAACAAAATATAGAAGATGTCTTGGATTCTCTTACATGGTGGTGCCTTGGGATAAGCCATGAATTTGAGGCACAGATTGTGAGAATTTCCCCCTCCTGTAGGACCTGAAACACAATTTTAACCAGGAAATAATCACTGCCACCAAGTGGTGGTAAAATAAATGACAATCCAGGCAAGATTTTTTTAAAAAAAGTTTCAGAATTTTAAGTTTTATTTAGGGAATACCAAAATAATGGGCTAACATAAGAAAAGTAGCCACATCATTAGAATATAGTAATATAAAGATGAATCTGGCTGCTGCACGAGATACTAGTTGAAATTACATTTGGAGAGCAAATATTTCATCCAACTTGTTCTTGAGATAATTTCACCTCTTCTTGAAGGAAATCATAGCAAATAATCTTTCTTGCCTGCATTCTTGGCCCAAGCGTGTTCTAGACCTTAATTCACAAACGGACCAATTCAGAGTCCCCAGTTATATTTTAGGAAATGTTTGGTCTCCTCCTAGCCTGGAGGAGGCATAAACTCAGTGTTTAAATAACAGTGTTGTGATCAATGTATTCTAGGACAGATGGTAATTCAGTATCATCTTCCTCTAAATATTTTTTCTTGTGCTCTTCATCCGGAAAGACTTAATGTGCAGTTTACAGCTCAGTTAAAAAAAACAAACCTACCTTTGTAGGCTCACAATCTAAAAAGTCACAGCATGAAAGGGAAAGGGGAGGGGGACGGAAAAGGAAAAATACTCTCATTACAATTCTGAACAGTTTCGGATCTTACAATGTGGTTCGTTAAGTTTTCTGCGTTTCTTTTTCTGATAGGAAAACTATCAGTCCGTTTACAACTGGCAGTACGTTCATTGCCTGTATTTCTGGTGCCGGGTTCTGAGCACGATGCATCCGAACGAAGTCATGCAACCTCTGATTTACCCCTTGACCCAAGTCGTCATTGGCTGCGTTAAGTAAGTAGCTGCAGATTGCTTCCCCCCTTGGCACCCCCTTGACCACATGATGACTTCCAAAGGGTCAGATTAAGAAATGGTCAGCGATAGTAGGTAGGACTAAGAAAACATTTTGGATTTGGGATTCTTCCCGCTCAGAAAGGCTGTGGGTTTCAAGTTGCAAGAGCAGCATTTCAAGCCCGAAGCTTTTGCATTAAAAATCGCCGAGTGCTCCCCCAAATGCTCAGGGTCAGTGATGGTGAGATGCTTTTTAAGGAAGACCCCCGTAACCACAGAGGACGCACACCTCTGTTGCAGCCACCCTTGGCGAATGGCTGCGCAGTCGATTTTTCCCCCAGCAATCCCATTAACGCTGCATTCAGATTCTAGGTTTTTTTTCCCCTCTCTTAAATGCCATCCTGCTGTTCTTCCCAGGCCCCTTTGAGCATTGATAAGATAAACGGTTCTAAATGGTGTCAGCGCTTGCTTCTTCCCCTGCCCGCCAAACCTCTCTTCCCCCAAGATGTCTTTCCCTCCCTTAAGCGGGGCTTTTAATTGTCCTGTCGAGGAAGCGAGGCCGTTTTCCACCTGTCTTGGCAGATAAATCAGTCATCTGAGCGGCTCTGCCGGAGAGATTCCCCTTGGCTTTAGCAGCCCTCCCGATTCCTGCCTGCGTTTTGCACGTAGAAAAAGTCACAGTGCAGTTCAGAGCGAGGAAACTACTTGCTCGAGCCCCCTTTTTATTCCTTTTTTCCAAAATCCCGGGGTTAAAAAAAAAAGCTTCCTTTTTTTCGTTTTAAACACTGACATGTTTAAAATTCGTTTTCCATTTGTGGGTGGCATTGAGGCACCCCCAAGAAGATTTATTCTAAAGGTCAGCCTGTATAGTAGATTCAAGAGCCAGGATGATGGAACAGAGCAATGTTTCTCAACCGTGGCAACTTTAAGATGCGTGGACTTCAACTCCTGGAATTCTGGGAGTTGAAGTCCATGCATCTCAAAATCGTCAAAGTTGAGAAACACCAGAATAGAGAGTTGGGTCAGCCACAGAGGTGATGTTCGGCCAGTCGTCCTCACTCCACACAGCCTATCCCACTGGGCTGCTTTGGTGATGCTCACATGAAGGGAGATCCTTATGGAAGCCATCATATCCTCCTCAAAAAAGGAGTAACTTTAACCAAGAAATAACTTTTGAAAGTTTAGAGTTTGGGTAGCATTTTACCTCCTTCCAGTTTTATCCACACCCCAACCTTGGAGAGGAAGGTTGGTGGGAACAAAGACCGGGAAAGACCACCCTATGCGTTGAGTGGCTGAGCCTGGGTTTATCCCCACTGAGGCTCCTGTTGGTCCCTTTGGGGAGGCAGGAGAAAACCCACAGCATCAACTCTGCCTTCCTCCTGGTTTGTTTTAAATTCATTCAGACCTCCGTAGGTCAGTCCCCCTCCTGCTGGGCGGGTTTATTTCCTCTTTTTAAAGCTGCGATCGCTCTATCCAGAAGGTGGCACTAGGCCCCAGTGAAAAGGGCTTAAGAGCAGGTGAATATCCTGGGATGTGGGGCGCAAAGGGGGTTTGCTAGCTTTGACAGAACGGAGAGAGCGGGGTTGCCATCTGTGGCAGCTTCCTTGCTCCAGGCACAGTCCAGGGCAGAATCTTAAATGCGCTTAAAGACGAAAACTAGCGATGTGACACTTGCAGGGGAACGAATCGGTCTCTCCCTTTGTGGTTTTTCTGAAACCTGGTGCTCTCCCGTGCCTTGGGGGGACGGGCGGGCTGACTGTTGTGAATTCCCCTTGTGTTAGCAAAGATGGAGGGGAGGGGTGGAGAGTGCTCTTTGGGGCAGCTAGAATTGGTGGAAAGGGGGAGGAAGGTCTGGGTTGGCACAAATCTTTGAGGGCAAAGTGAAACAAAAACAGAATTTCCCCAAGAAAGGGAGCAAAAGCTGCAGGTTAGGACAGAGAGGTGGACCTGAACCACATTCACACACGTCCTCTCGTCCTTTGGGTCCTGCAGTTGCATTTTAGCTCAAGCAGCACCATTTGGGGGGAAAGGCAACCTCTAGTCTGGCCAGACCCCCTCACCTGAGTGATACCAGCTGCGGGCAAAATCCACACAGTTGCTCATCTGGGAGCACCAGTGTGTGGGTGTGCGTTTGGGTCTTGCAAAGTTCTGTCTTACATTGTTTTATTTCCTTGGGAAATTCTTGAGCAAGACAGTCTGCAGTGAAGGATGATAATATTGACCCACATTCCCTGAGTGTCCTATTTAAATGCATGTTGTTCTTTGTTTAAAAGATTTTGATAAGCCGGTCGCTCTTTTAAGGGATCCGCGTGACCTACGGGTTAAAAACATCCTTTAAATGCAGCAGAGGTCTAAAGCAGATCTAAAGTACAGAAGCGAATGGCTTAGGAATGATTATAGAGAGAGAGACATTTTGATCCCCCCTCTACGCTGTAGTAAGGATATTATTACTGTTATTAGCTAATTTCACCTAGAGTCACGTAAAAGTGAGATGGGCGGCTATGTAAATGGAATAAATATTAGTTACTATTTTTTCCAGATGCTTTTAGGGTATCACAATTGGTGCTGTGCCAATACTTGGAATTTAAAACAGCTGTTTGGAGTTCGAAGCAGTCCTTCCAAGCGTCTCAGAAGGGCCTTGAGATCCAAGCAGCTGCTGTGGAATGCTTCTGGGGTGGCTGGAACAGCTGCTTGACATCCAAGGTGGAGCATTTTAAATATAAATGGGAACCTTTTGCACTCAAAACTTTTCACATCTGAAACTTTGCACGCTGCCTGTCAGCATGGTGTGGGTCAGGCCCCCGCTGGTCTGTTGGGAAGAAGTGCCAGGAATCAACATGCAGAGAGAAACTGGCTTGGATCAGGATAAGTAGGAAGAGGTGGGCTTTTTGCTGAAAGGTGAAAGAAATGAAATGATGATTTATGGATTTGAAGATTAAGAAAGATGTAGATTAAATAAGGGGTGAAGGGATTTATATAATATCTAAGAGGGAGGAGGGACTATAAAACTGTAACTACAGTGGTACCTCGGGTTACGAACTTAATTCGTCCGTGACTCTGGTTGCA